GTGTTGTCCGAGTTGCCCATGATGCCGGGAACAGCGACGGCGACACTGGCAAGGAAGACGATCGACATGACAGCGAAGGCGAACGGCCACTGGAGGGCGATGACTTTGGTGAAGAATTGTCTGTTCAAAATCAGCACGATGCATCTAGGCAAGGGGAAACAATAGACAGAGTTAGTGCTCACCCAACACCCAAGCCGGCGGCGAGGAAAGCAGTGGCGAAGCCGACGTAGTAGTCCTTGAAAGCGAGCAGGAAGAAGCCAGCGAACGCGGCAATTCCCCAGACGGCAACGTTGGCCAACACGCGGCAGACGAGTCCGTGGCAGTGGAGCATGACCGATCCGTTCCAGAGGATCATGAAGAACGAGAAGGTCAAGGGCATGGCAGCAACAGGGAGATGGATCAAGCGAGGAGCCGTCGGGTTGCGGAAGTAGACGGCGACGAGCTGGAAGAAGTTGACGATCAGGACGATCTCCGAGAGGATGGTGTGGCCGCGGGTCCAGAGCATGACCCACACGAACTGGAGCAGGTTGTAGCTAGATCAAGTCAGCATGCGAGGTTCGATGGAGCGGTGAACGGAGAGAAATCACTTACGTGATGAAGTGGCTTCCGACGGAGGCGGCAGAGTTGACGGCAGTCTCGTCGCTCCTGAACAGGTGCCAGACGTAGACGACCTGCAACAGCCACAGTGCAATCCAGTAGATGCCGACGAACACATGGCTCAACGTGAACGGAGTGTTGTAGTAACCGAAGAGGTTGTGGTGTCCCGTATGTCCGTCGGTAGGGACGTGGTTCATGTAGTAGAGGGTCGTGACGAACTGGAGGATCCACGACACGAGAGACAAGATCCTGTAGGCCGTGATGTTCCTGCGAGTGCCCTCGACATCACGGGCGAACGGGTTGGCTACGGAGCAGGACAGTTACGGTCAGCAATCGATGACGACTGAGAAAAGAGGTGATTGGAAGCAGTGAGGAGGATGCAACATACAGAATGCCATGATGATAGCGGGTCTTGTTTACTGTGATGTGGATGTGGCGGAATAGATGGGGAACTTATCGGTGGTGGAGGACTGAGAGCAAAAGAAAGAAGGAATCGGGGGCTTTTCAACGGAATGCAGAAGCAGCAGCAGCAGCTGGTTTTGACGACGGATTTCAAGGAGTGCCGCCCCCCTCCAGCGGCGGTCACGTGAACATGACGTAGCGGTGGGTCCTTTTCTTAGGCTTCGCACTGCTTCATGCGGCTTCGAAGCGATCCCCGCAATAACAATCGATGACCACCCCCGACGGTGCTGGCTAGCCACCAATCAGGTCGCGTTGTAGGGGCGGAAATGTCATGCGACCGTTGCATTGATGGAAATCAGTTCCGCAAGTGCGCAGAAGAGGTAGCAGTTTCAGGAATCGGCTTCCACCGGCAGTCGCACTCGCATGCGCGGCTGCTGCTGCTGGGGGTGAATGGCCTTGAATTCAATCCTGCGATTTCGAGCCATCGTTGTTGAGGCAGGAGCTCCATATTGTTTTCCTGCGCCGGAAGTGGCGTCGTGACGATGTCGCATCCTCCGATCATTCGGCTTCGCCTCCGTCGACATTTACCAAGAAGGTAAGTACCCGTTCATCCACAGTTACCGTAATGTGTCGCCCTCAATTGAAGCATTGACTCCATCTTCTTTTTTTCTTCATCTTCTTCAGCCTTCCGTTCGCCGGCTGTTTCCTCCTCCCGTTATCGTCGCCTTTCCGTCTTGCAACCGTCGCCTGCCCCCGCACGACGCGTGTCGCCCGCACCACCACTACCACAACCACACCCGCGATTTCCATCGTCAAGCTCAAACCGGGGTCACTGTCGGTGACGTTTCAACCCGGCAGCATGCATCCCACCAGCACCACACTACGGTTGCTATCTGCCCCAACCGTGTCACTTCGGAATATGATTCATACGAGCGAGAGAAAGAAGGAAAGAGCAACGCAGAGACAAACACGTGCTGATTTTCGTTCCGGCGGCGAGTACGATCAACTGCGTGCTCGTACATACCATTCTCACACACAGCCAACGTGGCGCGACGTTGCCGCATCCGGTGCTGTTGCGGTGCCGCTCTAGTATAGTATTGTTGGGCTGAGGCTGAAATGTCGGCGGTTGACGATGCTTACCCTACGGTACTCTTCCAAGGGTGTCGACACTTTGGTTGGCTGACTCTTCGCTTCTCAAGCTCTCATTCCTCCCGCTCGGCATGCTGCAAAGCTGTTTGCTCGAAATATGCACAACCCGCTGCTCAGCAGGGCAAAACTTCCCACGCGACAAGCTTGGGGGAAGATCTCCACTTCCATCGTCTCGCTACATGCATTTATTCTTCGTGTGTTGGTAGCTATTGTTGCTTGGCGCGTCGCGCTTTGGCCTCTAACTATTGGCTTTCTTTCTTTTGCCCCCAAAGTGGCATCACTCCCGATTGGTTTATTTATCCGCATTTGAGTCTCCATTCAGCATAGCCTCGTTGCATCGCTCGTCGCTCCTCCAAACAACACCACCACCACCCGCTTTTCCCTCTTCGCTCTTCGCTCCCTTTTCTCACTCTTCGCCCATCGCCAGCCCTCACTCGCCGCACCCGAGAAAATCCTGAAGGGCGGCCGGCAGCATCCAACATACGCCCAAACCGTATCCAACCCAACCCAACCCATCCTCTCCCACCACCCCCCCACCCACGCACCACCACCACGACAGCTGCCATCTTCTTCTTAGGCTTCAACCCACGATTCGCCCTCACTCATTTTTCCTTTCGTCGCCGCAAAAACGTCATACTTTCAATTCAGCATTCTCGCATCGTCGTCGTATCGCATCGCATTATTCCCCTTTCGTCAGTCACATCACCGGTTTCAGCCTCGCTTACCCTACACCGACAAACATAAACATCAACAACATCAACAACAACAATAACAACAATAACAACAGCAACAGCAACAGCAGCAGCAGCAGTAGCAACAGCCCCCCCTTCGCACCCCACAGCCGACTGCGTGGCCGGTATGGCCTTCGCGCCGTCGCTGCCGACACTGCCCAGCTACCCACGGCACATAGCGCCGTCGCGGTCAGAATCGCCATACGGCGACAGCCACATCTACAGCTATGCGGCACCCACACACAAGAAGTCGCGGCAGGGCGCGTCGACCTACCGGCGATCACAGCCTCGCTACTCGGCGCCACTAACCCCCGACGCATCCGACACCGACGACGGGCTGATGGCGCACAGCATCTACAGCGACCGGGACTACCGCAGCTCACTGGTTGCGTCGAGCGGGGGGTTAGGGGGGTCGAGGAAGCGCGGGCGGGCAGACGTCGACTCGGCGTCAGAGCGGGGGGGCGACTGGCGGGAGCAGGAGCAGGATTGCGACGAGCGCCGCGGCGCCGGCGGGAAACGGAGGATCATAGACGTGGTGGGCGGGACGCTCGGCGGCGTGTTGCGCGGCGCTTGGGAGATGTTCCGGCCGCGCATCCCATTCTATGGTAGTGCGCCGGCGCCGAATCCGGTGCCTGCGCCGCCGGTGGTGGTAGAGGAGCGACGGTGGCTCGGCTCGTGGGATCACGAGCGTGGGGCTGCGCATTGGATGGGGGATGATGAGGCTGACCGCGGGGAAACGGCGACGTTTGCGGGCGGGTGGGCGCACCAGCAGCACCAGCAGCACCAGCAGCAGTGGCCGGCAAGTCCTCCGTCCACGGCTGGGTCCGGGTACAGTGGGGCGAGCATGGCGGGGAGCGTCGGGAACCAACAGTCGTACTTTGAGCGCGAGCGCGAGCACGAATACACCACCACTGCCGCCGCAAGCAGCAGCTACAGCAGCAGCACAGCGCCACTAGAAACGGGCATGAGCGCGCAGTGGATCATGGTGTCGCCATCAACATCATCAACGCGCAGCACGCGCTCCGCCTCGATCAGCTCACGGCGGCCGCGGCTAGTAGCGAGCAAGAAGCGCGGGCTCAAGCCGCCCACGCCGCGCTCGCCGGGCAGCAGCTCGACACAGTCCCCGGGAAAGCGGCATCGCAAGATGGGCTCGGGCGGATCGCTCGGCGACGACGAGATAGACGACGACATGCGTCGGTTCAATGAGCGCCTTAAGGCTATGATCCGCGAGGGCAAGGAGGCCCTCGGCGCGACTGTCGAGGTCGTCTATGATGAGGACGACGACATAGGCATGGACGGGTTCTAGGAGGATCTGGATGATGCTACTGCTGCTACTGCTACTATTGCTACAATCTGTTGACCAGATGGAAGGTGGAAGGGAGCGAGGGAGGGAGGGGGTAATGGGCGGCTGACTGTTGCTTGCTTCGTTGCTTACTTGCTGTGCTGGTTTAGACTTGATTTGACTTTGACTGCCGCGCGTTTTGCAACCTTGGAATACCCGTTTTACGACATGCGATGCTTTTTGTTTTTTTGTTTTTTTTTGTTTTTCGCTCGGTGGCTTTCTTATTCTACTCCTTCTACTCCTTCTTCTTCTTCGACTTCGACTTCGAAGACTCATACATTTCTTCTCATCTCCATCTCAACAAATCACACTCACTAAACTCTCTCTCATTATCGACTTTTTCATTTCTCATCTCTCCTTGTCTTTACTTTACTTTGGGCTCCTGGTGTTTTTTTTCGCGATACTCCATCGCCTGCTTTCAGATTTCCTTCTACTCGACTAAATCGTCACACACACTCACTAAAATAACTACAATCACTACACTTGTCACTACACTTGTCACTACACTTGTCACTACACTCACTGCACTCACTACACTATCTACACTCAACTGAGTACACTACTCTCACTAGTTTCCTTAAAATGGGGTTTATATATCATCGGGGATCAATTTGTTAACGCCCGGGTTTGGGTTCGGTTTTCTTTGGGGTTCAGAATGTCTTTGCTTCCTGTCGTCCGTCTGTCTATCCTGTGTTGTCTGTCCTGGATTTTCGTCTATCCTGTCTGTCTGTTAATCCTGTATGTTCGTCTGTCTGTATCTCTGTCTGTCTGTATCTCTGTCTGTTTGATCGTCTGATCGTCCTGTATTGTCTGTCTATCCTGTCTATCTGTCTGCCTGTATGTTCGTCTACCTGTTTGTTCGTCTATTATGTATTGTCTGTCTTGTCTGTATTTTTCTTTTCATGTGCTTATTTTATCTCTCGTGGTGGGGGAAACTTAGGGGGAGAGGGATGGGAGTTGGGATTGGGGGGATTGGGGAGAAGTGGATCAGTACCTCAGAAGTAGGTATTCGTGATATCAATATCGTTAACCACTATTGTTTGGTCCGATCCACTCGGGGTGCGTACATATGAGAAAGGAGGGAATGTACGAAGGAAAGAAGGGGGATAAGCACTGGGGTTCTGGGGTTCTGGGAAGTGAAGTTACGAGGGTAGGGCAGGGCAGCTGAGCAGTCCCCTATGGTGCTGTGTTCGGTGCTTCATGTATAGACTCCCTTTGCTCTGCTCTAATAGGAGTAGGAGTAGATGAGTCGGTGACTTGCCGGAAATACAGGGGAGAACTCCACCTATGCGCATGGATGGGAGCATGGATAGGGAGCATGGGGTGCGCAGGCAGGAAGTCAGCTGTGTGTACGTAGAGTAGCATCGGCTGTGGTAGCTCGACACGAGGGCACGTGACGCCATCCGCCTGACGGGGTGTCGAAGGAATGTACAATACGGATACTCTAATTAACCGGTAAGATTTGCACAAACGGACGTGGGTTTAAGGTTCAAGGTTCGACTTCAATTCCACGATAGGGCTAGGCCGCCACATCGCACATCACATACTACGGCTGGCCCCGGAAGCCGCCCACGATCCGCTGTCCCCGCGATCTCCTCCCACCACCTAGACCCTCTTCTTCCCCGCGTCCAGTTCCTGCTGCTGCCTCATCTCGACCGCCGGCACCATGTTCCAGTACGCCTCGCACAGCAGCCAGCCGGGAATAACGACCCACAGCCCGTTAAAGAACGCCAGATAGAGCCACCTGCCGCCTTGATATTAGCCCTCCCTTCCCACAGCGCTCCACGGACGAGGAAAACCCACTTATACATCCAATTATGCGTCATGAGGTTATGATTCCCGGCGATCCACTCCGGCGCGAAAGTCATCCAACCACCATAGATCTCGGCGGTAGCCAACACCGCGATCCAGAACCATCGTCTCCCCTCCCCGCGCCTCACCATGCCAGCGACCCACAGCGCCGCCGGGCCCGCAAGCAGCACGGTCACCAGCTCGATGCACACGATGCCCACGTCCGCCTCACCCCACCGCCGGTCCGCCTTCGCGTACTCATTCCACAGCTTGCCCAGCGGAGCGGTCGAGAACTTCGTGCCGTAGCTGATGGCCGCGTCGCCGTACAGTGTGGGTACGGCGCTGGAGCGCACCGTGGAGGAGGTCGTCAGCGAGTAGTATAGGAAACTACCCTCGAGCACGAAGTGCGTCAAAGAGTCGAAGATGTGCCAGATGTAGATGACGCGGGTTTTGGTAGTCGAGGTCGACGGTAGTAGTGCGAGCGAGAGACCGTATGCCCCCACGAGCAGGAGCACCGTCAGCAACAGCGAGAAGACCGTCGTGGCCGAGATGAGCGTGGGTTCGTCCATTGCGGTGATGGCCGTTGGGGGGATTGAGGTGTCGAGGGTAGTGAGGGGGAGGCGTGGTGATGCCGCGTTTTGTAGTGTAGATAGATACCTGGTCAGGGGTTGGTGCGATCGCCAGGGTCGACGTGTTCGGTTGGCGTGTGGCACGTCCCTGCACCTGCTATGCATCGAGCATCACTCGGTTATGCGAAGGATTCGCTCGATAACTTTTGGTGACAGAACTAACGGGTGCGGGCAGGCGGATCCTGGATGTCACAGAGGAAGTCGCGACCAATGAGGTGTCGCAGTGGGAGCTGAGGAAGCGAGAAGAGAGGCAGGCAGAGAAAAGGCGAGATGTGGAGCACGGGGGCAGGGATGCCGCGAAGGTCCGCCTGACGAAAATCGGGTTGAGCAGTGGACGTGGGAGCGACATGTGTATAGAAATGTTGCCATGATCTATCGAAGATAGCTCGGAAAGCAAGACGTGTGACGGACAGGTCAGACAGAACAAAGATAACATGTGACGACAGAAACAATCTAACGTTTACCGACCGCATCGGGTCTCATCCGGGACCTACCTCCATAACACATTATGTAGGTCCCACCAGGTCTCAACAAGGTCCCCACTCTCCAGCGCTCACTGACGACGCCAAGCCGTCTCGTCCTCCGCACCCCTCAATTGGCACGAGGACAACGTTCGAGCAGGAAGCCTGTCACTTATACTTCGAATGAACACACATCGTTGCGTACACTGACGCTTTATTCTTTTCGGGTGGATCGCGGGCGATATGACTCAGCCAAGTCCCGGAAGTTTCGGCTTTTCAACGTCTACCACGCGTACTATTTATGTTCGTCACTAGTCACGTGTGCCATGATCATCAAACAGGCCATCATTTCAATTGGTATCGTCGGGGCGTAAGCATATCATCTCATCGTACAGTAGTAGCCTCTCATCCTCTCTCATTTCCAGCCCCCAGGCACAACGGGATCCCAGCTCTCAGCCAAAAACATCGACTCCTGCCGGAACTCACTGTGCGAAATCGCATCCCACGGACGAGCATCAGCTTCACATTCCACCTCGTCCTCCACCTTGCCGGTCTCAAAGTACTTCCCTACCACGGCCGCCGAACAGGCACTGGGCGTGCTGATCGAGCAATGGCCCTCGCTGTGCTGGATCAGCAGTCCAGCGCCAGGGAAGCGCTTCCTCATAGCCTCCGCATTCCTCAGCGGCGTGACAGGGTCTAGCGAGGTGCTGGCGAAGAGCAAGGGGTAGGAAGTGTTCTTGCCCCATGTGTGGCCGCCCCATCCACTCTCGCCGTCTCGTCGCCACGGCACGAGGCCTTGGGCGGGGGTCTTGCGGCCAACACACGACATCTGAATCCGTGCCCAGTTCCCTCCGATGAGCGCACTCTGCCCCTGTAGCTCCTTGACATACCCACGGAACTCGTCGAGAGTCGCGTTGTTCCCGCCGCCGTCCTGGCATAGAATCGCGGAGTCCGCCTCGGTCCCGGTATTCGGCAGTGGATCGGAGACACAATTGCACTCGAAGTTGAGGTGGATAATCTCCACGACTTTGGAGGCGTCACCATTCTCGAGAGAAGCGAGAGCGTGTGCCGCAACGGGGAAGCGTATGAGGGGAGTGTACAGCGACCAGAAGATGACGGTAAGGATGTCAGACTCCGTGACCCAATCCGGCGCGTGGTCGCCGTAGACTGGCGCTGGTTCTTGACGGACCTTCTCTCGTAGACGTGTCACTCGTGCTTCGACACCCGCAGCAGTCGGTTCGGAGAGTGCACAGGTGCCGTTGGCGAGGGAGCAGTAGTTGTAGAAACTTGCAATGACTTTGTCCGCGTCCTGGAGGTTCGTCCGCCAGCCACCGGCGTAGTAATCGTCAATGTCGACTACGCCATCGACCACGACTCGTTCGACGCGCGAAGGGAACATGCTCGCGAATGTCTGCCCGAGGACGGTACCGTACGAGAATCCCCAGTAGCGGAGTCCCCGCTTGGAGGGGTCCTTGTCCACGGATTTCCACGACGCTTCGACGATGGATAACATATCACGAGCGACATTCGGGGTACCGGCGAAGTCTCCACCCGTCCCACCTTTATCGCAGACGCTCCCTAGCGACATCGACCTCGCATATTCGATTGCCACTATCTGACCATTTCCACTTCCCATAACCCAGCCTCCAGCCCGCAGATACCACTGCATCCTCGCGGCATCGCTAGGAAAGCAGCTTGTGGCCGGGGTAGTGTTGTTCACCCCACGGGGATCAAATCCGATGACTGAATGCGTGTTCCCAACGATGCGCTGTAGCATCTTCCCCGCCTGAGTGACAAATGCCACGCCGCTTCCGCCGGGCCCGCCGGGGTTGAGGAGTACAGGACCGGACCAGGCGTCCGAGGTCTCGGGAACGGACGCAGGAACCTTGGTGAGTGCTATGGCGGCGCGGCGAGGGTCCGAGGAGTTGGTGTAGTCGAGTGGAACATCGAGACGCGCACAGGCGAGGCCGTCGAAGCATGGGTGCCAGATGAGGTCCGACGTGGGTGTGATCTGTGTGCTATGTTAGCAAGCTCCAAGCTCCATCTCACACTGGTCGAGCGGAAGTGTGTACATCAGTCCATCTAAACTTCCCCGTAGCGGCGGTTACGGAGGGTGTGGTCGTCGAGATTTGTACCAGCCCCGTGTGGAATCCCCACAGCACATACATCGCAACCACACAAATGCCTGTAACAAGGACCGCCTGCTTCATTGCGTACAGTAGCTGCAGCTTCCGAGCGCGACGTGCGGAGCGAGCGGAGCAACCGGAGCAAGTGCAGAAAGCGGCGGTAGGATTGGCCTTAGGTAGGAGCACCTTTTCATCGTCGCATATTGGTATCGACGACATTGTTGGAAACGATAGAGATGATGGGATTGCGTGTTATGTAGGAACTGCAGTCGGTTTTAAGAGTCGCCCTGGGCCGACTATCCGGCTTGGCGTACAGGGTTGTCCGTGCGTGTCGGATGGCGCTAGATGGAACCGAGCCAATCGTGGAGAGCGGGAGCTTGTTTTGACGACGCTGTGGCGCGTGGGGTGTGGGGTGTGGGGATTCCATGGGTCCGTGATTCCACGCCCATCTGATAAAGATGATTATTGGAAATAGTGATTCTAAGGCTTTCGAAACGGATGCCCACTGATCGTCGGCTTCTGCTCACGACGCAAGAACTATCGACGGCCAAAGTTCTGAATCGCGGGAAAGGGGAGGGCCGGGGTACGTACCATGAACGAACGGGAACCGCTTCGAAGAGGGAACATCTTCTCCTCTTCTGCTATTCCTGTCGAGATTAACCCCAGGGAAGCTGTTGTGAATAGAGGATGTAGATTTGCGCATCGGCTGTCCACTTTTTTCGCGGCAACGTCGGGCCACCTTGGTTCCTTGGAGATTGCGGAAACTTGTGAAGAGGAGGACATGAATGATACGAGTGAGCGAGCATCATATGGAGATATGTGAAAGAGAACAACGGTGTTGGAGTAGTACCTCCTCGCTTGGAAGGATGATGTAGAAGCCGAGTGGATATGTTGTCCAAGAAGGAGCAACTTGAAAACCTTCTGGGGACATTCCTTAGAAACTGTACCATTGGCAGGACGGAGAGTGGAAGGAAGGGTGGGGAAGGCAGATGAACGGGTGGGAAAGCCAGAACGACAGAGGCTCCGGGTCAAGGGCAGCCGTTGTCCAAGAAGAGTGATGTACAGCAGAGTCAGCGATCAAGAGAGCCCCAGGCTTGAATGGACGATGGGTAAACAGGGAAGATTGATTCTTTCTGGGTGAGTGGTCACGTGGATGGTACCGCGATAGGCACATATCACTCGTAGCTCATGGTTTGTACTCGCCAAGACTAAGGCCCTTTACACATGGCTCAGATCCGGAGAAGGTGTTAAGCACCGGATGGAACCATTGCCCCCCGAATGCAGTCTCTGCTGGTGCATTGAATGTTGAGGTCTGCTTAGGTAAGTATTTTCACCGGGCGGCAGCGGCAGCGAGGCAAACCTCTCCGTCTTCATTCTCAACCATTTACGAACACATCACACAACACAGCCATCAACACGGCCATCAAGACAGCCATCAATACAGCCATCAACACATCCAACAACACAGCTAACAACACAGCCAACAACACAGCAATAAACACAGCAAAGAATAACACTAACAATGGCTTCTTCAGATAGTAACAAGACGGTGGTCTCTGAGCTTTCCGGTACCCTGCCTGCTTCATCTCAGGTTCACGAAGGCTCTGTAGTTGTCGGTCAGCAAGACATCCCACCTCCGGGCAGCAAGGTTACCCATCATGTGGCTACCGAGACCAACCAAGCCAGCATCATCAGCGAGCCGGGTGATCTCACAGGTTCCATCCCAATCTCCATTACTGCTTCAATCCTAACTCACTCACTGATACAATAGGTGGAACTGAAAAAGACGGACTAACGGCATCAACGTCGTCCCATGGCTCGAAATTCCACAACGAAGGAAACCCTCGCTCGACTGTTCCCGCCAGAGGAGTTCGTCTTCATCCTACAATCATTACTGGTATCAGTGTTCCTCAAATTGCGTTTAACTTGACGATTGAATTACTAACACTGATTTTTCTCAGTCATCTCCGGAAGCGTATCGATACTCCGCCGCCCTGGATCCACTCCCGCAGCTGCTCCTATGTCCTACGGCTAGTCTCTTAATCACACACCTCTCTAGTTTCTAACTAACATGCTTCAGCCGCTGCCGCCGCTCCGAACCCTACCGGACCTGATCCACGACGTCAGTCTCAAGGTGGTGCCACCCGCCCCACCACCCGGTGTCTCCCTGCGAACATCAATGGCCGTCCTCTCACCTCAGCATCTCTCCAGCGACTCCCAATTGCTAGAGGAGAGGCTCTTCGCCGCTGGTTGGCCCAGGATAAAGATGATGAAGTGACGGCCCCCCCAATTCTCGCTCTCCCGGCTCCCACTCTCCCAACTCCCCCAACTCCCACTCTCCCGGTGCCACCTGCCGCCAGTCGTGGACGTAATGGCCGACGGGGCCGACGGTCTGGTGGAACCGGCGGACGCAACACGAACCGAGTACAGATGGAATAACTAGAGGCTACAGTTGGTATAGGGCGATTAGATGGGGTGATGTTCTGTCCGGCCGTGTTTGTTCTTTCAATTTGGCTGCTGTATTGTTCTTTCCGCCACCGAGTCCCAGTGTACGATTTGGTACTGGGTGCAGCGGATGTGGTTTGATTTGTTTTTTTTGTTGCAACTCAGCCTGGGTTACATTGCTGTTGCTTCTCTGATAGGTATCGTTGAGAATTGAGAACAATTTAGGCACCAGAACTGATCGCACTGTGTGAGCTTCCAGGCGTGGACGGTGCCCGCTAACACCCTAATTTCCTACAGCCCACCGTTACCACCCATGTCTTTGGCCAGAGCTGCTGCTACCGTTGAATATTAGGACTGTCCTTGAGGTCAGTGTTGAAGGATCCCACGTTACAAGTTACGTCCTACCATGGATACGGAAGTTCACGATAATCTATCAAGTATTCCGGCATTAGACATACCCCATTACCAGACTACTAACAAAGCATGGTTTCGAGCGACTCAGACACAGGCGTGATGATGACTGCCGGTGATGATGGTCTGCCGCGTAAGCCCGTGCAGGCCCATGGAGCGGGTGCTCTTTGTCATAGCTACCCCGGAGCTGGCCGTCTTATTATTGTCAGATCGCAGGGAGAGAACCGGACTCGCCGGCGACACCTCCTGGATCGCAGAAAGCAATATTAATATCATGGACTACTACACTGGGTGCAGTTAAGTAGCTAATCGTTGCCCCCATTCATGCCTCAGCTCTGAGCTCTCCAACGACTATAGGGACTACGTAATGCACACAGCATACACATCGCGCAGTACCTTTCAATTTTTTTAAACGAGGCGGAACGGCCAACGCGTTCGAACCGACATCTTCCACAATGAGAACGCATCCGGCTAACAACCACCGTGGGATCAGGGGCGCGGCAATGGGTTCGGTCATGGTCCCCATGAATGCGGGATCTATGATAGGCAACTACTACCGGCTATTGCCGCCTTGTTGTTTGCTGTGGGCAATGAAGATACCGGGCTGTAAGTTCTGTCACCTTTTCAAGCAGCAGATGTTCGGCAGTCGAGCAGCCGTTAATCCCCTTCGCTGAACCTGTCAATTGTGGCGCCCTGGAGTGTTGGATTCAACTCAAAAATGGTCACTTTTTCATCCCCTCGTTCCCGCTACCCACACTCTGGAGTCTGGAGTGGGATCACAAGGCAGATGCAGCCAGTGAGCATCATTACTCTTCGCCGTCCTTTGCTCTCTGACAGTCTCTGTTCTTCCTACAGCAGGTACGCACTTCGGCTTCTCCTAGGATGTCCTACAGTATTAGCAGGCCCGGTTCGCCGCAGATACCACATTTCCTCGCCGCGGATACTATTCTCTCTGCGGATAGGAAAGGCTGTCTTCGCCACAAATACCACTCGCTTCTCGCAGCGGATAGCACATTTTTCTCGTTGTCCTTCGCTGGATACCAGGCCCTGGTATTCCTTCCGCCGGTACGCGCCGTCCTCCAATGCTGTCCAACAGAACCACCAGGTGGTCAAGGGAAGTATCGGTGGAGAACAATGGAGGTAATGGACGGACGAGGACAAGGAGTGGAAGGGATGGGTAACAGGACGGTCCTAGTGTGTAGAAGTATATGTAGAGGGAGGAGGTGATAGGCTGTGAAAGGAAGTGTTTGTGGAGGAACCACGGAGATGACTCGTACTTGACGATTTGCAGCTCTGGGACGGTTTATCAAACGCATGAGTGCTAGGCAACACTGATGATTGTGATGGGTATGAGTATGGGGCGGAGGGGCGAGTGGGGGTGGTAGCGGGGGGATGCGGGGTAGCGGGGAGGGTACGTGTATATGTGTGTGTGTGTGTTGCTGCCAGTCGGGAGTGGCCTGTCGACGGCGTGCCACATCAATACCGGGCCAGCAGAGAGATGACTCGGGTTCCCTTGCGGTTGCTCCGTAATATGTACATGCGGCGTGCCAGAGCGACGGTAACCTTAGTCGGCCGTAGAGTTTGGGAGATGTTGGGAAGCAGAATTGACAGTGGCTCGATCCCGCCATGTTACTCCCGCTATATGCGGTGTCGACACGGAGATAAATGACGGCGGCCCGGAGAAGGAGCATAATGCTACGATACCTATATCCCCAATAGCTAGCGACATAGATAAGTTAGTATAATACTTAATTGGAAGCTTTACCGTGCGCTTCTATTTATATCGAAAGGCTTGTGCTGTGCCTGGTTGCCTCTTTGCTAGACAGTCGGTCAAGTAGGAGCTTGAACTCCTGATACAGCCAATGCGAGCTAGGGGTAGTGAGTGATGCCCCGCTGCTCCCAGCGATTGCGCAGCTGGCTATACAGGAAAGCAGGTAGCAAAGACAAGCGACCAGAATATTACATTAAACGAGAATACAACGAGCACGAAAACAGAAAAAAGAGTGGAACAATATGGGTATATGGATTTTATACCCGCAGGGAACAAGCAAAACAATAAGAAACAAAAGAAAGATATTAAAAATTAAAAATTAAAATTAAACATAAGAAAAGGAAAGAAAAGAAGAGAAAAGGGGAGGAGCAACCCCTGCACTAATCGATAACGATTGGATCGTTACGGCTTCCTGAGAACAGATGGGCAATCTGTTCCTTCTGCCTTTCGGAGAAGCGCGGCGGGCACGACGACCGGCGCTTCTCAACCCTTGTGGGCGCGGGAGATGAGCGGCGGAGCGGAACGGAATGGTGGCGGCGGCGGCGGTCAGGGGTCTGTGGTCCGCGGGCGGAAGCGCCGGGAGTGGCGGGAGCTACCTCGGGCTTGGAGAGGGCGAGGGAGAGGGCGCGCGGCTGCTGCTGCTGCTAATGTTCCATATGATGGGGGCGGGAGCGGCGGGGGCGGCGGGAGTGACGTCTTCTTCTTCTTCGTCGTCGATTGTAAACGGGCGCGCAGAACTGCCGTCCGCTAAGATGATCGTAGCCTCGGCCGGCTGCCAGGAGTTGGCGGGCTCGGCTGCTGGCTTGGTGCTCGGAGCGGGCGAGGGAGAGGGCACACGGCTGCTGCTGCTGCTGCTGCTGATGTTCCATATGGTGGGGCGGAAGCGAAAACTTGTAGCGGCAAGGTGGGTGATCCGGGAGCCCGGAACGCGGCGCTCTCCGTCAGGACGTCGAATATCACTGCGCCGTTGGTGGTGGCGGCGACGTAACCGTTCACTAGCTTGTAGCGGTACTTCTCGAAGCAGTCCTCCTGCAGGAGGAGGTCCTTCTTTGAGTACGTACACTTGTACCAGACCGTAAGCTTGTCTGTAGTACAGATGGTGGTGGTGGCGGCGACGGCTAACACCGACTGCACGAGGTCGGCGTACTCGTGCTCGGAGGAGAGGAAGCACCGAACACCGTTGACGGCGGCGGCATACGTCCCACCGAGAGCACCGACAACATCCGCCGATGTTGTGGCCTGCGCGCTGCTGCTGCTGGTCGACATGATGACCATATCATCATCGTCGCTCGCGGCATCTTGCGATGACTCGATGGTCTTGGTAGTGCCCTCGTTCAGGACTACGCAGGTGCTTGAGGACTTGAGGTACGGGGTTCCACGACATGTCGGTAGTTGGTGCTTCCGGCCCAGGTGCTTGGTGGCGCACATCTAGCTGGTGCGTGTCAATCAAAGGTTAACGCAGTAGCACAGGAAATAACTCAAACCTAGGAGTGAATCAGAGAACGGGTGAATCGCAGCCTAACCCCTTTCGTATACCACCACCATCACCAAACTTAGTCGATGTGAGAATTATACGCTATGTAGACATAGGCTTGCTCATAATGATGGAATACATAGGAACTGGATTTTCCCTATGGTTCTAACGGTCGCTGAGGAGGAAGCTAGCTCGAAGAGTGGTGTCTATATACCGGAATGCATTGCTGGGGATACGCGACACGGCTTTTTCTTAGAACCATGAACTGTGGCTTCGCTGCATGAATCGTGGCAGCTCTTAAGTCTGAGTTTCTTTGTCATTTTTGGCGCAATGAGTCATTGCGCCCGTGTTCTCCATCGTCTGGTCCGGACGGCCAAAACGGCGGACTGTTGGTCATGCCTCACTCTACCGACACATGTTACCTTATTCAATCGACACAAACTAGGTACTCTTTTGGTGTGGACATGCTTAACGCGGCTGATGGGGAGGACGTAGAGTAGATAGTACAGCGCACACATTGCCCAGTGATGCCGACGCTGTTGCGGCGGAAAGTAGCAGTATTCAGACTCGAATACCTAAGGTGCACGGTCGAAATCGGGTTTTTGCACAAAGTTTGGCGTCCCGATGTTGTGCCCACAGCCCGTGGCGTATCGGCAAACAATCCATCACAGCCAATCGAAGCCGACAGCTGCAATCTCATTCCCCGCCACTTCATGCACACACTGCACACATCTCGGTTGTGGTGATCGCGGTTTGCTTTGTCACGAACACCGACGCCCAATTTCAACCAGCCTTGCTTCTCCTGCCGCGTGCAGCCACATGACGTAGCATCTCTAACGTTTCGTACATATCCGGGACGCAGAATCAGTGGTTAGTCGGATATCCGTGCAGCCGCGCATGAAAAGCGGCATTGGAAACACGCAGTCAGTGACTCAGTGCGCGAGGCAGAGCAAAGCCATACGTCGGGTTCTTTTGGCGGAGGAATGAAGGGTTTTCGGTCCTGTGGCTATAGGATAAGGTTTGGAGGAATAGCGACTCGAGTAACCCCACAGCCATGCCGAATACCGACAATTAGCCCCTGGACATCACAATGATGTGTCAACTGCCGGCATTACTGTGCAGACAACCCAACCTACCCCTGCACCTGCAACTCCAGTCTTGGCAGATTCTCCCGACTTGGGATAGCCAGATCAGGCTCAAGAACTATTGCTTGAATATGTTTTCCCCGCCCTTATATACTGGTGCCTGACTGCCTTGATCCGTGACTGGCGCTTGGCTTGCATAGAATCTCTAACGCGAGTTTCGGCAGGGTTCAACTTATCCGTCGGACAATCAGAACCAATGTACTTGCCTAAAATCATCGTAAGCCGTAGTTAAGCGAGTGGCCGTGATGACTGTCCATGACGACGTCTGGTCCCATGTTCGATCCGTGGAAGAAGCTTTTGATCGCTAGCGGGTGTCGTCGAAGCTTCCTCCCCACGTATCTTTTCTGCGCGTGCATTTTTATGTGCGCACTTATTATGTCTTCGCGCACTTAGAGTAAGTAAGTAGATCCAACGAGCGCGCAAAACAGGGGCCGATTGGTCGACGACAGCAACAGCAGTACATCTGCCGGCCCACGTCCCATGGATTCATCAGGTATCGGTCTTGCGGTCGGGGGGACTTGCCTCTTCTCGTTTTCTCTGATTTCCATCCCCGATCGTGTATCATACGCATGCGAGGAGGTGGATTCATCATTTCAGTGTGCACTATGTGATGAACGCCTTCTCAAATGCCTTGTGTAGCCTGATGATTTGATGCTCGCGTTTGGATCGGTGACGCTCCACCGGGAAGAGCTGAAGTCCGCCAGAGGAGCAACGAATACTCCTCCATGGGCACTGTCGGGAAACCCATTTATTACAAATAGCGACCTATGGTTCTGCCAAAACGTCCATCCCATTTACCACCATCTCTGATCAGTAACTTCTTTATTCACATCACCCCTCGAAGCCCTCAGACTTACCGACTTTCCCAATCTCACCTCATGGCTTCAAAGCGCATGCTACCTGTTGCAGCTGCCGCTCCAGCTCCAACTCCAGCTCCATCCCTAGTAGATTCCTCAACAGCCGTTGACACTTCAGATCCCCCGGCTGTCCGTATTCCAATCGCAAACAGGTTTCCATCCATCCAGATGGTTACCTCTCCTACCAAAGGCAGGCCAGGATCCACCGCGATCAACATCCCAAGCATCTCCAGCACCGGCGCTCCCTCAGCAGTGATGACAGGTAAGATTTCAGGTAGCCTTATGGAGGTGGTGGGAGAGCCTGACTGACACGTATCAGCTCCGACGGCGATTTCGTACACCCTCAATGCGTGGATGGCGCAAGGACCACGGGATGACGGGGTGGTGGTTTTTGCGTCTCGCAGGGATATTATGCGTGAGTGAATAGGGAGCAGCAGCCATTGCAGCATGGCTGTGAGGGTGTGGGGATTAGAGGTGGTGGTGGTGGTGTGGGGATTAGAGGTGGTGGTGGTGGTGGTGGTGGTTAAAGGGGTTACAGGGCAACAGGGAGGGAAGGGCGGACTGCAGGACTTGTTTTCGACAGATTTCACTGTAATTTTAATTATTGGTAAGAATCGATCGAGGCAAAATATGAAGCCGAGGGAAGATGGAAATAGTAGGCCTATCGCGGTGTTCGACATGTTCGGCGGTTTAGTACTTGCTAATGCACGGCCACGGTGCAGTGAGTCCATGTTCCGCCTCATCACAGTGCGTTGTACGTCCCATCCGTCCCATCTGTCGCCACCGACAAAAACCGATTTTCTTTCGAGGGTGTTGGTGTGCCTTTCATGTGGTTACAGTTGTGGGTGGGACACACTGTAGTCAATACTAATCTGACGCCGAAGTGCGGATTTGCTTTTTGCTTTTGCTTTTTCCTGCTAGGTTCCAACTGCGTTTTCGTTTCGTCCCGGGTCCACTGTATTCATCCCGTTCTAGAAGTCGCGCACGCGAGGAGCAACTCAATCCGATTGCCTGTTCCATTTCCCGAATCCCAAAATATGCGGCCATACCATTCTATACAGATCATCTCTCTTTGTTTTTAGCCTCTCGGGATGGAGTATAGTAGTCGTCGGTCGGATCAAAGGGCCTGCAATCTCTTCACTGCTCAGGAACACACTGTAGTCGGTCAGCGCGGGGGATCAAGGGCTCGGAAAAAGAGTTTCTAGGTGTCCGGAGCGGTCCAAGTATGTTTGAAGGGGAGGGCCCAACGCATAGTATTTAAACGTCTTACCGTAGTGTCATTTTTCTTGATCAGCAGTGTCTATGTTCCTTCATCTTCCGGTATAGTAAGAACAGAACGCAGGCGTGGGTTCAAGCACCAATGCGCGATGAGTGCGCACCATGGCTATGCGCCACGTGGAGTCGGCACCGGGAACTTGCAGCCACGTCACCGAATGCTGGATATCTTTCCATACATGGACTATTACCACACCATTTCCATCCGTATTGAAGTATCCATCGACGTTGGATAAAAATCCCATATGCAGTGGGTATCGAATGTCTGCGACTGCCATGATGATCACTACGAATCACTGGGTAGGTATTTACTGACCATTCACGCTGCGCCATCCTCACCGCCATATCCTAGATACTGAATAGCCGCATTAAGTTAGCATCCGACCGTCCACAGCCACGGGCTGAGGTGGGGCTGAGGTGAAATCATCACTAGCGACCACCTACCTACGTCAACTGCGACAGTCCCAGAGTAGGGAGGAAACAGACGCTAAAGGGGTACAAAAGAGTTTAGCCGTCTTGGTGAATCCAAGGAATCCGTTGCGATAGAAACGGTGTATCGATTACGTGGACCGTGGCTCTCATGAGGCAGAGAGAACAGTGAAGGGGTAGACAGTACAGAACAGAAATTCTCGTGACACCCGGTACGCCGCCTTTCAGAAAGCCCGGTGAGGGAGCGTGGAGGCAGAGGCAGCTTGGGGCCACTGGCGGGCGCCGAAGAGAGGAGACCTTACTGAGTCCTGGTGGGACCTGATCCAGATCCGATGTGGTCATCTAAACGTTTACCTGTCTCCGTTGCCACTAGGTACTTCTGTCTTCCAGTTGTCGGTCTTTGGTCATCATCAGTTCATCAGTCTCATCATTGCTCTCTTTACCAGCCAAATCATCCGTCCTCCTTACAATTCCTGCAGTACTCTGTAAGCATGCAGTAGTTTCTCGTCTGTCGCGCTGCCACCCGTATCAACCCCGCCTCTCAGCCGCCCCCACCTTGTGCGCACTCAACTGCAGACCCCTGTGCCGGAAATCTCTGCAAACCACCCACACCCCCCCCCCAAAAAAAACAGCGCCGAAACATCGTCAAAAGTAGGCAGAAAGTAGGCAGATGAGGGCCGGTGTAAAGGGTGATAAATAGTCCAGATCCGCCATTTAAATGTCTACACTAGGCATCCTCCGCTTCTCGCGGAACATATATTCACCCGTCACAGCATCCGCCACCCAGAAAGACCCCCATCGACCACTTTTGCCTCAGCCATACACTCGGACAGACTCCCCGTCGTCCACAACTCGCATTCATTTTCTTTCCGTCTATCCGTCGCTTTCGAGCCCATAACTTTCCAAGGAAAGATCTCTGTCGATTAGTTAGCTCGCCCGTTGCAGTTGCAAAGAATGTCCGGCAAGGCCAACAACGATCCCCCGAAGCAGGCGGATCGAGTGCCGGGAAACAGCAAGTCAACCATGGAGCCTCCGGCAGTAGTGCAGCCTACAGAACATGCCGGTAACCACCCCAGATGTTCACAGCTCGTGGCCCACCCAAGCTTCCCGCGGATCCCCGTGCTGACATGTACGCCCAGCAGCGATTCCACCACTACCACCACCACCACCACCACCACCACCACTCACCTTAGCAGCCCTGCAGCGACTCCAAGGACAGCTCCATGGTGTCCCCGAGGAGCAGGGCTG